CCAGAATCCAGTACCGAAGTTGGTTTAATGCGACATAAAAGGTTGTTGGAGTACCTGTAGCAACGGTGGCAGTAGAAGACACAGGAACACTCAGAGACTGGGGAGTGAATAATCCAAGCTGCTCCTGAAGACGACCAATTTGAGATGGAAGCTGATGTAAGTCAACAAAGCTAGAGGGCTGAACATCACTAGATGTATTGGCGATAGCAACAGTATGGGAAGAGCCTTAAGAGCGTGCCCTAGCAAAATGTTGCTTCAACTTAGGATGGAGCTTGAAGCACTAAGGTTGGACATGACCCGGTTGCACCACAATAGTGGCAAATAACCTTACCACTAGAAGCCCGAGAACTAGAATTTGCAGCAAGGGCCATTTGATCTGAAACTAAAGAGGCAGGGATAGAGGAAGGAATCATAGCAATAGGTTGAACCAACCAATGATATGGTGGTGGTCATCGCTATCAATAGTAACAAAAGCCTCATACAGAGTTGGCATATGTGATGTGTTCAAAATTTGAATACGAAGAGATTCAAATTTAGGTTTTAAACCCATCAGAGCCTGGTAGGTGCCAACAAAGTGAGTAGACACAATAGAGGCAGTAGCAGTTGAAAAATCACTCAACGGCTCATACTATGCTAACTCCTCCCAACGTGACTGAAGATACCCAAAAAATTCAGCAATGGTAAAACCCAAAGCTTCCTGAGAAGCATGAGAAATATCCATCTTGATAGAGCTCGAAAATACAAGCATCATTGTGGGCATGTGCATACATCTATGTAAAGCCCTCCACAACCAAGGAACGATATAATAGTACATAAACATGTTATAAATGCGTTCCACCATTGAGTTGAACATCCAACAAAGTAAGGTGCAATTATCAATATCCCATTCAACTTGGTAAAAATGCGTTCCATCATTTAGGGTCACCATTTAGAGGTTGCGTCTCAGTTTCCAGGAGTCATCCATACTTTGTATAGGAAACTAGGTTTGTTCAATAGATTCAGTCATTCTGGAAAATAAGGAAAGGGACACACACCCAATACCAATTAATAGAAATGTTTTGAAAAGCGTGCCTAAGCGCAAGGCAAGGCGAGGTGAGGCGAGGCGCAGGGCTGTGCTTCATGCATAGCAAGGTGAGGCGATGTGGGTAAGGCGTGCAATTGAGGCGCTGACGCGCGAGGTGAGTGTCTTCTGCGCTTCACTTGTCTTCCACTCCAACAGCTTATATGGTTTTCTGTGTGGATACCCACAATGAATAAAATCTCGTACATTATAAAATGACCAAAACATGGTCCAGAAGAGCAAAAAGGATTAAAAAAAATCCTAGTTGGTAGAGAAGAAGAAGACGATATAGTTCTTTGGCTTTCGACACATAGCACGTCAAGTTCTTCTCTTCTCTTCTTCTTTTCTCTCTCTTCTCTGGTTCTTCTTTGCCTTTTTGTTTTTTTGTTTTTTTTTTGCTTTATTTTTTTGGTCTTCTTCTCTTCTCTCTCTTTTCCTCTTCTTTTCTTCTCTCTTTTCTGGCCTTTTTCTCTTTGTTTTTTTCTTCATTTTTTCTGCCTCTATTTTTTTTCTCCTTTGTTCTTTTATTCTTCTCTAGTCTTCTTCTTCTCTGTATCTCTCTTCTCCTCTTATTCTCTGGTCTTCTTCTCTTGCTCTCTGTTTTCTTTCTCCTTTGTTCTTCATCTCTGTTTCTCTCTATTCGCACTTAGGATATAGGAGACCTTATTGCCTTGGTGCGCTTGGAGGTTGGAGCCTTTTAAAACACTGATACAAAGAATAGGTGACCAATAAACACCACGAGGCCAGAAGAGCGGCGCCAAGCACAAGAGATGCTACCGAACAATCTGGTAGCCCAAATCAACAAGAACACACAAAGGTTGCTTATCACATCAGCAACACACCACCCAAAAGGAGTAGAAACCAGCCTGGACCACCCTAGGATGGTGCTGAACGACACAGGACCAGGAAAGTCCTAGTCGGCTGCTGCAGAAGCCTTGGCAGTGACTGGAAAGTGCTGCCGAGGGAGAGAGAATGAGTTTCAGGTTGTGTAGGGTGGTGGGAGGGAGCTGGGTAGGTGAGTCGGCTGCCAGGGAAGGAAGGAGAGGCTAGCAGTGGTGATGGATAGTGAGGAAGGAGGCTAGGGTTTCTTTGGCTCTGATATCAAGAAGAAACTTGTAAAAAATTGCCTTATCCTAATGTGAGTGAGACTTTCTATATATAATGAATATATGATACACAAAATATAGACAGAAAAGTAAATAAATAATTACATAATCAAATTCCTAGACAACTATAATTTATACAAATCACGGGATCTCCTAAATATAATCTATTCTATATTCCAACAATCCCATCTTCCATAATTTTACCACACATCCACCTTAATATCCTCATCACAATTAAACTTATTTTGTGAACATCTGTTTCTTAACTGACCAAGTGTTTCATGGACATGACCACAAACACAGGACATTTAGGCCAAGTTTGGCATCCTCAAAAAAATCTAAAAAGTCAAAAAGTCACTATCTTATTTAAGTCACATCATCTTATTTAAGTCACATCACCTCTCTATCACATCACTTCAAACCCAACCCATACCCAACCCATATTTCATAAAAAGTCAAAAAGTGCACTTATTTAGGACACCCCAAACAACCCCTTAGTCATTGAAATGACATGATATGGACACGTCAAACAGAAAACATTAATGGCATGATTTGGAGACCTCATACATAAAATATTAAGCTTATAGGGGATAGGCATATCAAGGACATTGAAATTACACATAAACATATGTATGTTGGTATAATAGTTTGTGGGTACTTGTGTCAAGCTCAATACGTGGTAAGCCCTACAGGTGCTATATCACCAAAACCCCACCCACGTGGCAGACCAATAAGGCACCACATCGGGCATGTCGTATGTTCAATACATGGCAAGCCCTACGGGTGCCATGTGCCAAGGCAACCAAGACTATGTGCTTAGCCTAAGCGGGAGCATACATATAAGCCAAATATATCTAGATATGAAGAGCCCTGCAACAGGCAGCACCATGGCCCCGCTGGGCCCATGGTCCTGCATACCTCGCTCCAAGATCAAACAACAATACAATCAGCCCCCGGTTCACTTGGACTTGGATTGATAAACACTGGCTCTCCTAAACATTGAAATAAGCCCGCGGCCCATTCTCCTACTTGGTCGCTTAGAAGCGAGCCCCTCTCCTAAACATTGAGACAAGCCCGCGGCCTATTCTCCTACTTGGTCGCCTGGAAGCGAGCCCTTGGCTCTCCTAAACACTAAGGTGGGCCCTAGCCCATTCACCTACTTGGATGCCTGGGTTGGGAGCAGGACCCAGACACTATTGCTCGGGATCATCAGAGGATACTGGATTGGCGGCTGAGGTCATGGGATCGTCGAGATGGTTGTCTTCTTGCTAAAACAACTCCATCTCGACCAGGCTTGGAGAAGAGGCAACAATGACCTTATGTTCATGTCATCTGATGCATATACGAAACGTTACTTTCCGCCTGCCATGAAACGTTGCTCTCCGCCTGCGTCAAGCCACAGACAGCAGAAGGGCTTATATCACTTCTGACAGAGTTAAGGAGAACGAGCCACCTGCCCAACAGTTTGCTTGGGCTCCAATACTCCTGTGGCCTATATAACGTATCGTATATGCAGCGAGACACAACAATAACAATACAACCAAGTCTCATGCTTAACACCCTTTCACTTTACATTAGTGTTCAAGGTCTATCACTGCCAACCTCTTTCTCTCCAAGCTTGCCTTGATCTCCTCCTCTCCACCTCCGCTGATCTCAGGCCATTGAAGTGCCCGCCATCTTCCCGGACTACCTCTAACCACTACTCTCACCCACATAGTTTATATATATGCATATGCAAATTTGTCATATGCATTATCACTACGACTCCTTTCCTATCAAAGGAAATAATTGCAATGACTTGCATCTCCTCTCTTCTCCACCACTTTGATTAAATCCTTTATTTGCATTATTCTTGTTTTTCAGTCCCATCAAAATTTTTAATGTTATTTCATTTGATATTAAAAAATTTATTTTTATTTTTATTTTTATTTTATTTATTTATTTATTTTTTTAAATTACAAATTACAATTCTTTTTTGTATCCAGGTAGTGTCTATCTATTGTGTTAGACATGATTTCTATATCAATGGTAACCAAAGTCAAATCAGCGAAGACCTAAAGTAAGAAACAAAATATCAATAAAACTTTTAACTAATTTATAATTATTAAAATAAATAAATATAACTATTAAAAACATAAAATTACAATTATAAAATTGTAATGCCAAAACGGGTGCATGCACGTTCCGCATCATTTCATAAAAAACTTAAGTTGTTAGAGAGGAACAAAAGAAAAAAAAAAAAGAAAAAAAATTATATCCAACAATAGTCATTTCTATTTGCCTCTTTTTTGTCAAAAGAAAAGATTCATGAAAAAAAAAAAAATCTTAAATTTATTAGAGAATCGAAGAAACTAGAAAGGCAAAGAGGAGAAATAAAGAGAATATAGAACAAGGATGAGCAAGTCACTTATTCTCTATTTTTGTTATCGTAAAGTACTTTTTTTTATAAAGATTTTGTCACTGGTATTTTTTTTTCTTTCCTTCTCTCTCTCTCTCTCTCTCTCTCTTTCCTTACACAATGGAAAACCCCCTTCCTCAAGTAAGCCTTTAAACATTTTGTTTTTGAGATTATAATATTCGTAGACCTCAACATCATCAATTATTTAGATATTGAGAATGTATTAACATTTATATAGCTTTTAATTTGTTTCCAAACATTTCTGTATGTTTTGAAATTATTTGGTCACTTCCCTCATGTTTCTTAAATGTTTCTGTTTCCAAGCTAACCAAAACAAGACTGAAATGAAATTTGATCCTTGACTATATCCAATAATTACAGCATCCTCATCAGATGTTGTTTTTAAGAAAATCGTTTTATCAATTTAATTATGCAGCCATTAGTGGAGCAGAAACTGCATTGTCAAGCTATAATTCTACTTTGGGCAATCTTCCTGCGCAACCAATCTGGGCTGTTGCAGAAAATTATCGGTTTGAGCCTGCTTTAGTGGAGGTACTTGTTAATGTTATATTTAAAATGGTTTCTGTTATCAGGGCTTGCTATAAAACTGATTCTTGCTTGTACAGTGCAAAAAATTAGTGGCTGAGATTGGGGAAATGATGAGTGTCCAACTTATTGTGGAAGGATCAATGAATAGCTCAAATCCTTACTTCTCAAGCTCTTGGAGGCGCAATTTTTCTGTATGTCTTTCATTGTAAAACTCATCACATTTGTTTGTTCTTTAAGCGGCAAAAGGAGATTTGTCATATGCCTGGATGGATCAATATTATACAAAGCTACTTCTTGATGTTACAGTGATTATATATTTTATGTTGAGATACTCCCAGGTGCTGAACTAAAATGTTACAATATTAAGGTAACAGCAGAACCCATCCCTGAGAGAATGCATCCACCTGTAATCATGATGTTCATGTTTATTGAGGCAAAACAGTTAGGTTTTATATCATTTAATTGTGGTCAGTATAAGTAATATAGTGTACTTTTTCCTGTGAAATTTTTCTTTTAAGTCTGAATATTAAAGAATCTTGTTTGTTTGGATTATTAACCTAATTACATAAGCAATTCTTCTACTATGTTGTCCAACTCAAAGAGCCTATTCGGATAATCTTAAGCTGATATTTTCTCCCTATATTTTGGCAGGGGGGTTTCATTCTAGATATGGGGGTACATTTCATTGCTGGTTTGAGGATGGTAAGCTATTCCTTTTAACTGAAATTGCATTGCCACATCATTCTTGTGATTTCTTGTGTGAATTTTATGTATGGATAGCATTTTCCATTTTAAAAATAAAACAAATTATTTCAAGGAACGTTGTTGGAATGTGTCTCACATTGCCTGGAGTTGCCCTACCTGTGGTGGTTATAAGGCTCTAATTTCCCTCTCCTTAACCTAGGTTTTAAGGTGAAGTGTGGGCTAGGCTTTTCAATTTGATATCAGAGCCTACCAAACCCTAGGCTTGTTTCTCTCTAGAGTGCTTTCTTACTCCACATTTTTTTTGTTATCAAAATGTTTTTCTCTCTTCCGTAAGTCGACCAATAGTTTGCTGATGTGATAAGAAAATTTGTGATTTTTACTTGTTTCGGGGCTACCGGTGTGTTCGGTAGCATTGTTCTGTGATACGCTGAGTTTTCCGACTACTTCTCTACCCTTTTAGGATCCTCGTGTTGATGTGGTAAGTACATATTTGGTTCTTTTTTGTTTTTAGGCCACCATTGTGTTCAGTAGCATTCTTTGTGGGACACTATTTTTTCGGCTTTTCTGTTTGTTGTGATTTGTCGTTGCTTCGGCCTTGTTGCTTTCTCTCTCTCGGTTGGTTTCTCTTGGTGCCATCGGGACTGATTCCATGCATGTTTCTTCTTTGTTGCAAGATGTTGATTCCTTGTCTATGTTCTTTGAAGTTGTCATTGAAGGGAGTGATTACAATTGTTATTGTCTCTTGGCAACTTCATTGTAGTTGTTTGCAATGATCATCATATTTTCAGGTTCAAGTTGGACACTTCACTTTAACCATTCCATGTTCCAACTTAAGGGAGAGTGTTAGAGATAATATTATATTGTCAAACATATTAAAAAATATGGAAGATATCAGAATATATGGAGATCCTATAATTTGTTCTTATTATGATTTTTTTGTATCTTTGATTTATTTCAATTCCTTCACGGAAGGGATTTGATTGTATTTCCCATTCTATATATATGGTTTCTCATGTAAACAAGAGTATTAAGTTGAGTGAATGAAAGATGTAGCCCATAGGGCTTTGTGTGTGTGGAGGTAGGCTAATATTGGCTGAACCACGTTAAACCTTTGTACTCTTTTTTTTTTTTTTTTGGTCTCTATTAATCTCTCCATATCAAACTTGTTGCCTACAAAATTCAAACTTTGAATATCAGAGCTTGGTTGGGCTTGTGGCTGGTGTGCTATTTGTACGGCTACTGTATGTTGTGATTCAGGAGGGTGTGTTAAAATGTGTCCCGTATCGCTTGGAATTGCTCCATCTGTGCTGGTTATAAGGCTCCAATTTCCTTCTCCTTAATACCTAGGTTTTAAGGAGAAGTGTGGACTGAGCTTTTCAATTAATGTTAATTTCACAACTTTATGATTGAAGATGTATTCTATAAAAGATTTGTTCCACAAATTCAGTGATCATGATATCCAAGCATTCACACATACAAAGGAGACAAAGGCTTTATAGTGGAAAATCCTTTCAAACTTGAATGTAAAAACCAACATACGATTCCACTAGTAAGGCAAATGAAGAACAAGTTACAAGACCACCCAGACCATCATCTTGTTAAGTGATACACCTAACTAGGATCAGTGAGACACAAGACACAAATAGAAATAAAACAAGAATCAAAATCAAGCACACAAGAACTCAAAGGTTTACTGGGTTCGCCCTAAAATTAATGCTACCATGTCCACGGTTGCTGGAATGTCACTGTGATCCAAAAAGAGTTATGATACAATACCAAGAGATGCGACACTTCAACTATAAATACATAGTATTTGGGCAACATGCCAGAACTATGAAATACACAAAAGGAAAATGCGGGGGACCCCCAGTAAGGGGCGACCCCCAGCGACCCCCAGCCCACGTGGCTGTGGGTGATTGGCCGGAAACGAAAAAAAAAAAAAAAAAAAAAAAAACTGACGAATGGCGTTGCGCCACGTCACTGGGGGTCGACCCCCAGTGGGGGTCTGTAGCAGTGTTGATACAAAAATATCCATCGCGGGCCAGTGGTTAATGTCCAGTACTTAACTGGATCCACATTACCCAACAGATCCAATCTACTCATACCCAGAGTAGCTCCTTAGCTCCAATCTTCCAGTCTGTCCACTTACATATTATATATTACCACTATCTACCACTATCATATTATATACATGCCACTATCTACCACCAACACCACTATCATATTCTATACATGCCACTATCTACCACCAACACAACTATCATATTATATGCATGAACACAATTTCCAGCACAAATTATTTCAAGGAACGTTGTTGGAATGTGTCTCACATTGCCTGGAGTTGCCCTATCTGTGGTGGTTATAAGGCTCTAATTCCCCTATCCTTAACCTAGGTTTTAAGGTGAAGTGAGGGCTAGGCTTTTCAATTTGATATCAGAGCCTACCAAACCCTAGGCTTGTTTCTCTCTAGAGTGCTTTCTTATTCCACATTTTTTTTGTTATCAAGATGTTTTTCTCTCTTCCTAAGTCGACCAATAGTTTGCTGATGTGATAAGAAAATTTTGTGATTTTTACTTGTTTCGGGGCTACCGGTGTGTTCGGTAGCATTGTTCTGTGATACGCTGAGTTTTCCGACTACTTCTCTACCCTTTTAGGATCCTCGTGTTGATGTGGTAAGTACATATTTGGTTCTTTTTTGTTTTTAGGCCACCATTGTGTTCAGTAGCATTCTTTGTGGGACACTATTTTTTCGGCTTTTCTGTTTGTTGTGATTTGTCGTTGCTTCGGCCTTGTTGCTTTCTCTCTCTCGGTTGGTTTCTCTTGGTGCCATCGGGACTGATTCCATGCATGTTTCTTCTTTGTTGCAAGATGTTGATTCCTTGTCTATGTTCTTTGAAGTTGTCATTGAAGGGAGTGATTACAATTGTTATTGTCTCTTGGCAACTTCATTGTAGTTGTTTGCAATGATCATCATATTTTCAGGTTCAAGTTGGACACTTCACTTTAACCATTCCATGTTCCAACTTAAGGGAGAGTGTTAGAGATAATATAATACTGTCAAACATATTAAAAAATATGGAAGATATCAGAATATATGGAGATCCCATAATTTGTTCTTATTATGATTTTTTTGTATCTTTGATTTATTTCAATTCCTTAACTGAAGGGATTTGATTGTATCTCCCATTCTATATATATGGTTTCTCATGTAAACAAGAGTATTAAGTTGAGTGAATGAAAGACGTAACCCATAGGGCTTTGTATGTGTGGATGTAGGCTAATATTGGCTGAATCACGTTAAACCTTTGTACTCTTTTTTTTTTTTTCTTTTTTTAATCTTTTTTGTCTCTATTATCTCTCCATATTCAAACTTATTGCCTTGTTACAAAATTCAACTTGGTATCAGAGCTTGGTTGGGCTTGTGGCTGGTGTGCTATTTGTACGGTTACTGTATGTTGTGATTCGGGAGGGTGCGTTAAAATGTGTCCCGTATCGCCTGGAATTGCTCCATCTGTGCTGGTTATAAGGCTCCAATTTCTTTCTCCTTAATACCTAGGTTTTAAGGAGAAGTGTGGACTGAGCTTTTCAATTAATGTTAATTTCACGACTTTATGATTGAAGATGTATTCTATAAAAGATTTGTTCCACAAATTCAGTGATCATGATATCCAAGCATTCACACATACAAAGGAGACAAAGGCTTTATAGTGGAAAATCCTTTCAAACTTGAATGTAAAAACCAACATACGATTCCACTAGTAAGGCAAATGAAGAACAAGTTACAAGACCACCCAGACCATCATCTTGTTAAGTGATACACCTAACTAGGATCAGTGAGACACAAGACACAAATAGAAATAAAACAAGAATCAAAATCAAGCACACAAGAACTCAAAGGTTTACTGGGTTCGCCCTAAAATTAATGCTACCATGTCCACGGTTGCTGGAATGTCACTGTGATCCAAAAAGAGTTATGATACAATACCAAGAGATGCGACACTTCAACTATAAATACATAGTATTTGGGCAACATGCCAGAACTATGAAATACAAAAATATCTATCGCGGGCCAGTGGTTAATGTCCAGTACTTTACTGGATCCACATTACCCAACAGATCCAATCTACTCATACCCAGAGTAGCTCCTTAGCTCCAATCTTACGTGGTTGTGGGTGATTGGTAGGAAAGAAAGAAAAAAAAAAAAAAACTGACGAATGGCGTTGCGCCACGTCACTGGGGGTCGACCCCCAGTGGGGGTCTGTAGCAGTGTTGATACAAAAATATCCATCGCGGGCCAGTGGTTAATGTCCAGTACTTAACTGGATCCACATTACCCAACAGATCCAATCTACTCATACCCAGAGTAGCTCCTTAGCTCCAATCTTCCAGTCTGTCGGGTCTCCTTGATGTCTACAAATTCACTTTCCTACCACGTATGAACCTCACATCCACAATAATGCCTCCACTTGTTAGATCAACTGATGACTATTGTGTGAGCAATGGTTGTGTATGCTCTATATGATTGTGTAGTGTCCAAGTTCCTCATTTCCTCACACACAATTATGGAGACTTCAAATCTCAATGTAACAACCATATCAAAATCTCTACATTTTTACCCTCAAAATTCATATATTGAAAGTACCACGTATACACCATATACAACTCATTTAAATAAGAAAATCCCTACCTCAAAGGTGAAGAGGAGAAAAGCCCTAGAATCCAAAGTGATTGGATTGAAAATTGAATCCGATGAAAATGAAGCTCTTGATGTGTTCTACAATCTTTGTTCTTGAGTTTTTTGGCAAACTTACACTCTAGGAACCTTAGTTCAAGGCTTTAATGGAGTTACAAACACTAATTTTAGAAAGAGAAAGTAGAGAGAAGGAAGAGAGGAAAGATCAGAAAGAGGGAAGAAAAGTGAGCGGGAAAAAAGAAAACAAGCACTTAAGTAATTCTTGATAAAGTGATCAATCACACTAACCCAAGCGATTGATCACTTCAAAGGGCATCGATCACTTAACAACCACTAGGCACTGCCTGAAATTTCAAATTTTGTTCAATTGAAGCGATTGCTAGACACTGCTAAAGAATTCAAATTAATCGAAGTGGAGCAATCGATCGCCAACCTAGAAAATTCAACCTTTTGCCCCCAAGTTCACGCTTTACAACCCAAATCAACAAATCTCAAACTCAGGATGATTTGTGTGACAGTAGCAACAATGACAACAATAAAGAGAAGTAATTCAACCTCTAAGATGGTAGGTGCAAATACAATTGATCCAAAGAACTTAAGTGGGTTGGGTATAGACCTGGACGTTACACCATGGATTGAAATGCTTTGCTCTCAGCTAGCAACCTTAAACTAGGTCCTGTTATTACAACTGGGGGTAAGCAGTGTGCAGTATGGTGATATAAGCTGCTATTATCGGAGTGGTTGAATATTGCTGGTGTATGAGATAGGGTAAAAGTTAAAAAATCATAATTCACTATAAGATGCAACTTCAGTTTTCAAATTTCAAAAAAACATAAAAGCATCCGAGCATCCCAGAAAATTGGTCTGGGTTTGAATTTTTTTCTTTGTGAAGTGAGTTTCTTGTAAAACAAAAAAGAAACAACATAAGTCTGGCAACATTTATGGATACCAACCTAATGATTTTGAAGCAGCTGTACTGATTCTGCTGTTTTCAAACAATTTGTGACGTATTAAAATCTTGCGACATAAATCCTCTAAATTCTTAATGACACAAAACCTAATTCCAGTATCAAGCTTGACTATTGATTAGTAAATAACATTAGCATGCATGGCTTTGGCCATAATCTGGATCATAATGTGATTTTTCCTCATCATGTAAAACAGATTGTTGGATGTGAGGTTAAGTCGGTGTCAGCTTTCACTTCTCACGTAGATTCGACTTTGCCTCCACCAGATAATATCTCCTCTGTATTGTAAGTTCTAAAACATGGTGTTCATTTTACTAAGAATACTGATATGATTTGAAATCTGAAAATTGATAGTTTGGAATTTTTGTTGCCTCTCTAGTCAGCTGGAGAATGGTTGTTCTGGGGTTTTCGTCATGGCGGTATCTTCAAGAGCACCGAAGGCATGTGCTATGCTAAAATGATACTTCATATCTTCTAAAGATGCCATTATTATGCTTTATTCACTTATATTGTTTAGTGCCTGTAGATATTCTGGCGAGTCGTTGGCTTAAAAGGTACTTTGCAAGTTGAGCGAGGAAATAGAGACGGAAAACATGGATACTCAGTAATCCTCTTATCCTATGAAGGAACTTATATATGTGGCAATTTAGAACTTCCTGAATCATTGATTTGATTGAGAAATCATTACCTTCCATTCTCTCACAATAATATTACAGGTGTCACTCTATACTTCTGATGGGCAAACCAAATGCTCCTTCTTTCCATTCAGTGGGGTGACTGAAGAATTAAAAACTTTTTTAAGTGATGTCTCCCAGGCCATTCTTAAGGTACTTCAAATTTTAAATGCTTCTATAGATGTGCTGATAAATTGATTAGTTGCCATTTCTTCAGTAACTTGCCTGTTTAACTGCATGATTTCATGAAATTGTTTTGTGATATCTATTTTGTGAACGTAGATAAATTAGTGACCTACAAAACTGAAATCTTGACTGGCTCCAAAGCAGTTCATCTCCTGGTTTTTTCCCACCTCAAATCTTTGAATAAATAATAGCTTGTCCATACAACTGCTTTTACGTTTATATGTTTTTTTGCTAGGTTTTTATGCACCTTTCCAGGGTTTGATTTCCAAGTTTCACCTTCTTCTACTAATCAGACATCTGTTCTATTTAGTGACTTAGCTATTCTTATTGTCACATTTCATCTCCAAAATGAAATTTCTATTTACCCTTGAGCGCTTCTAACACTCGAAAACTCTGATTTCTTCTGTTGGGCTGCAATTTGCTGATGTCTGGTTACAGAGAGTACCATATTCCGATCCTATATACTTACTATTTGGTTGCAGGAGGGTAGCTATGAAGCAGAACCTCGCTGCTCTTACGTGGAAGGTGCTAGGGATGTTGCTGTTCTGGAGGCCATGCTTGAATCTGGAATGAAGCAAGGAGCACTTGTCCAAGTCAAAAAGTTTTAGTCTCATTTTCCGATCCTTGTTGCCAATGTGATGTAGCGTGCATCAGTGTGATTTATATGTTTAATGATTCGTTTTTGGAAAAGTTTTAATATTATTCTTTAGAATGATAGAGTTGAAACATGTACACACGGATATACAAGCACTTTGGTAGGGGAGATTTTGTGCAACTATGACTTGAATCTATTTTATAAAAGCACTTGGATCTCACAGTGGAGTGGACTCCACAACAGTGAGCTCCACGCTTACAATTTTTGAACTTGACTGCGCAACCAAGTAGAAAGAACCCAAGCTCTATAATAAAGACATATATCATATATTAGAATTCTAGAAATTATTATCTAGACAAAGCTTTTGCATAACGGAGAAGAGAAAAGAGAAACATTTTGAATAAATTAAAGGAGATAACAAAAACTATCATGTGATGATTTCTCAGTAGCCTATGGAATCTATGCATATGGTCATATGGAATCTAGTTTGTTAAATTTGAAGAATGAATACCTTAGAGATATCGTTTTATCGATTGAAGTTCAACAATGAGTTCCCTTGACATTTTACAGGATATACGAGGTATTTTAGCAAAAGGAAAACTGAAAAATAGAAGCATTAATTTAAAAAAATAAGTTGTTAAATAGTTTGCGTTTCAAAAATTTAATCTCCAATTTTATGTAATTCTCATGAGATGCTTGTATTATGCTTTCTTTGATAATTGAATGCTAGCTTATTGTAATTCATGTTTGTAATTTATATCCTTCCAATTGAATTTAAAGAAAAAAGAAAAAAAAAAAAAAAAAAAAAAAAAAAAAAATATGAGTTGTTCTTAAGATGAGTAATAATTCCTCATTGAATTAAGGACGAGTACAATTTTTTTTTTTTTTTGAAAAATCTAACACAATACTATTATCAAAATATCTTAAGTGATTAATTTAATATTTTAAACTTTAAAATGATATAATTTTTAATCTAGTTATTAATTTTTAATAAAATTAATATTTTTAAAATCCTCTCATCAAGATTTATTAAACACAATCCAAGTAGACTATGAAATTATTATTATTATTTTTTTAAATTTATTGTCAAAATTGATGGAAAGGTAACATTTTACTCTGTTTAATAGTAATAATTTATTTTGTTTCACAATAAAATATTATTGACTATTAGAGTAATACTTTATTGCCTTTAACAAAAAAACAAAGTATTAACTGAAGGAAATTTTACGAATTCTTTCGCTCTAAGTTCACAAACAAATCAACGATAATCAATAAATAACAATTCAAATCAACAATAGGGATACATGTGTAGTGTTATCCAACAAAGAAGAGTACATTGTGGCCTGTAACAGTAATAAGATCAAACCTCTCAAATGTGTGATTAGAGAGTGGTCATTTCGATACCGCTGTAGATGATAGAGAGTGTCTTGTTGGACTTGTTTGTCAAGCTCTCAAATCGAATCTTATCCAATGCCTACACACCACAATCAAATTAAGAAAGTCAGAAATTTAAGTCCCATTCTAAGAACATACGAGTTAGAATAGATAGATAGAGAGAGGATTAAGACTAGTTATATTAGAGGAGTTGCTGATGAGGTCACGAAGGAAAATCACCTTGTTGCTGTAGAAAGTGTTGATAATGAGCTTGAGAAGTTGGTTGATTTCGGTTTAGAAGGCGAACGTCTCACTCAAATCTCTCACGTATATATGAAAAGGAAAGATTGTCCAAGAAGAAATAAAAAAATATTTATGTGTCCGCTATCAGGTACGGGCCTCTAGGTGAGAGGGTTTATGAAAAAAAATTTATGAGCGGTCATTTTTATCAAAGAAGGATCCAATAGAGGTTTTAGCCAAATTTCAAAATAATAATAATAATAAATAAATGAAAGATTAAGAAAAAGAAAAAGAAAAAGAAAAAAAGTCAATAATATAACATCAAATGTGATATTATATAAGTTTTAGTTATTGAATTTCAATTAAGTTTTTGGAAAGAGATGTAAATGTAATGAAAGTAAAATATATGTGATGCACCCGTCTTTGTGTTTATGAGTGGAATCGAGTCAAGTTGTAAGTTGTTCAATTTTAATTTGATAATTTAACAAATTAAAATTGTGTTTAAACTTTACTTGTTTACATAACGAGCCGAATACGAGTTGAGCTCGAGTAACTTTATTTTTTTTTATTTTTTTTATAGTGCATATAAGCTTATCGAACTGAGCAGTAAATTGTTCAAACTTGACGAGTTTAAAATTGTGTTTAAGCTTGACTTATTTATATAATGAGTTAATTTCAAATGAATTTTTAACAAGTTGAACACGAATAGTAACTTAATTGGTTTAACAACCCTAGTTGTTCACGTGAAATTGAATATATATATATATATATATATGTCATTATTGTGGATATGGATGTTGGTTTTTGACCACACAACCAAAATGTGAACTCAGCTAGAGAGTACTAGCAGAATAGATTAAGCCCAACAACTTGTAACAAGAAGGTGAGAATCCGGCAGTAGTTCATCCACCTGGGGGCACTTTGATGATCAAGTCAGTAAACAATATCTCTCACAGATAGAAAATAGTACTTTAATTCACAAGAAATAACTTACTTCAGACCCATGAGGGTGTCTTGCTTTTATAACCAGCAGTGACCTGATCATTTTAGAAGCCTCACTTCAGTGGACTCAGGCTCAAGCTCATCCTAGACTCTCAGCTAGATAGGGATAAACTCTTCATGAGCCTTAAGAATAGATTAAGCCTAACAACTTGTAACAAGAAGGTGAGAATCCGGCAGTAGTTCATCTACCTAGGGACACTCCGATGATCAAGTCAGTAAACAATATCTCTCACAGATAGAAAATAGTACTTAAATTCACAAGAAATAACTTACTTCAGACCCATGAGGGTGTCTTGCTTTTATAACCAGCAGTGACCTGATCATTTTAGAAGCCTCACTTCAGTGGACTCAGGCTCAAGCTCATCCTAGACTCTCAGCTAGATAGGGATAAACTCTTCATGAGCCTTATCCTTATCCTAAGTGAAAGCCTCCCCTGTTCTAGGACTTTTGTCCCTTGTCCGGATACCTCGGATTCCGACATCTTCGCAGATAACCTCGGCTTAGTCGAGATCATCTCGACAAGCATGACCAAGCCACGTGGCACCTCGGCTGACACTTTGGCATCACCTTAGTTACGTGCTGTCACTCACAAAATAGTTCCCCACAACTGCCCCCTAGGTTCTATTACCTCGGCAACCTGAGGTGATGAAACTTACATAATCTGTCCATTCAGCATGTCAGATCAAACATGCATTCATTACTTTGACCGAGATCATGACTCATTGGTTTTCAAGTAATCAGGAGTAAGTTGCCCACTTTATCAAGTGTCAAGAACTAAGAATCAAGTTGTTTAGGTGTCTCGACGGAGATCGCCCTTCAAGCCGAGGTTATTGCCTCATTACTTCAATAATTTCAAGAGTTCCAACTATGCATGAGCTGTCACGCATAGTCTTTTCAACTGTTTCCTCCACGTGTCCCTGTCCTATTGGCTCGTACCTGACACGCGCTATCAAATCGCGTTGCTTCTGGCCACGTCGTTTGACCAGCACGTCGCCCAAGGCCAATTCATTATGGTTTGCCGCCTTTTCGAATTTTGACAAAACTCCAAATTCTCTCTCTTCACCCCTTTACTTCTCATTCTCGCATTGTCTCTCTCTACTCAGACTTTCTCTCTCTAAAGTGTTTCAATCCCCCATTTTCATACCTTCAAAGTTTTGCAATTGCTACGTTTACCTCCTCTGGTGATTCACACAATGTCGCCATTCTACCTTTTAACTGAGTTCGGCGAACCTCACTCCAGCGTCCCTATTGTCAACCGCATTCAGTAATTTATTAATTTCTTCTTTTTTAATTTCAGTCTTATACTGTTCTCGAATATGTTGTTGTTGTGAACTATTTGCACACTCCCGCTGTTCCTTGTATCAAATTCCACACTAATTGCGAGTCGCCTGATTTGCTTGCCATTTTTCATGCTTTAGATATCGCGACTTAGCTCTTGTTCCTGAATTTATTTACTTGTACTGCTTGTGGTTCTTTCACATTGCCTTGCAGATTTGTAACTTTTCGTGCTCTTGGATCTTCATTTCTCACCACTATGCTTTTCACATTGTTGCTTTTCTTTGTTGCTTTCTTGATTCTGAATCATGTTCCTTTTCTGTTTTCCTTGCTTGTTTTTAGATCTTTGCATTTGATTCTTGTTTTTCCATAGAATTAGGTTTGGGATTTGCCTAGAAACTATACATTTAGGAAAACTGAAACAAATTTCCCCTTAAATCTTCAAAAATCCTCACCCTAGTGCTTGTTTAGGGTTTAGTCGAGGTTCTCAAACCCATATCGGTTTCTTTTCTCTGAAATCCAACACAAAACAATTTAAGTCGATATCATGGACATGTTTAGGCAGAGGGTGGATACCCCGACCAAACTAGAATACTTTCACCAGGAATTCTCCATCCCAGACGACGTTCATCTCAGGTTGGCTGGGAATGAAGATTTTATTATACCTGGGAAGGACTACATGCCATTCCTTGTAGTCGCCTTTATTGAGTGTGGACTTTCGGCTTCCTTTAAACATTCTTTTTCGAGAAGTCTTGCATTACTACAAACTTAACCCCATACAATTAGCCATCAACTCATTTAGGGTTTTCAATGGCATAGTCAAATTGGTACGTCGAGAAAACACTAGGATTACCCTAGCCAACATCCAATTCTGTTACACCACGTGTGGCCTTAAGTCAGCCAGTGGCTACATGTACTATCTCAAGCCCAGATCCACCGCCTACGAACTCATAGCTGACCTCCCAGACTTTAACAAAGATATGGAAGATGACTACCTGATTGTCTCGGGCAATTGAAAATTTGCACCTGATGATGATCTTCACCTCTTTGCTCTGCGTCAAGGAGTTTTTAGAGAGGATGAGGGTAAGAACTTTGCACGAGTGTAATTCTTTTGAGCCTTTGCATCTATATTGTATATCTGTTCTGAAGCTTAATGTCATTTTTTCTGTTTTTACAGTTTTTCCTCAACCGAGCAATTCGTTTCAGGAATCCTACACACCCAACCGAGATCTCAAGAGGCTTCTGAACCTGCCAATTGAGAGACACAAAGCCCCACTGCTGCTCAACTACATACCAACCTACCAAAGTTCTTTGCCCGACACTCTCAGAAGAAGCAAGACTTCAGTAGCCACTCAACCAACTACCTCTTC